GGAGAAGAGCAGGAGCTAGTTGATGAGACCACGAGAAATGAATTCGACATCAGTTGAACTCTCGTCCACGAAGCGCCGAGGCTCTGAAATTCTGAACCTCTGCGGATGTAAGCTATTCTACTCAGGTGTCGATATCACGACTCGCGCTCAGACAGGTGTTGGTGTTCTGGTAGAACCAAGCCTGTCTGGTGGAATCAATGCATGGAATCCTGACAGCGAAAGAGTGGCAGTTCTCCAACTGAAGCTGCAACAGATTTAAGCGTCAACTTTGGTACAGATCACGTCTAGTTTCGAGGGAGAATATGATTCCTTCCTTGAAAAAGGGAAGGTTGCTCTGTACGAAGTGCTGACTACGGAGTACGTCATTCTAATGGGCGAATTCAATGCGCATGACGGAGCAGACATTGTGAATCGAAATGGTTTAATTGAAAATAACGCCCTTTGCGGCCTCAACAGTATGGGCATGAAGTTTTTGCGATTTCCTGCAAACAACGGACTGCATATCATGAACATTTTATTCGAGTATCGAAGCGTGTATCAGTATACCTGATATAAAGAGGTTTGGCACGCTACACTGTAAGAGATGGAGTACATACGAAGATCTGGTGGCAGCAGCAACCGGAGAATCAAATGGGAAACATTGTATTCGGTGGACAAGAGAGCGAAACTTGCAAACAACATCGCACGGCGGTTTGAACAGATCTTGGTGATGACCACCGATGTGGAAACCGAGTGGAAGGTCTCTAAGAGCAGGTTACTCACGGCTTCCGCGGAATGCCGTGGTTTAAAACGCGAGTTGGCCTGCCCCTTAGAGATCAGAAACGAACTTCCTCGTGGACACTAGAGGTTCAGCTGATTGTCACCGAGAAGAAGGCGTCATTCAAGGGACAGACTGGAACGATTCGGCGCAAGGCGTTTCGGCGCCGATCCATAATCATCAGTGTGCAATGCGTTTGATTCTATATGATTGGATTGTTGTCATCTCTATGAACTTTTATAACCAATCAGTATAGTTATATATCTATTAGGAGCTCTCCGTGAACACATTGTAATACTTCTATCAAACTAATGAATTTCTCAGGTTTTGCATTTTATTTTATGATTCCATTTTTCTACCTGCAAAAACTGGATGATATCCAGTATAGCTGAAAAAATATCAGGATGCGGATGAGAGGATAATATCCATTGTGAATGACTATTATAATAGTGATATTATTACTTACGTGCTTACGGCTTAGTGCATATCTGCGCAATTGCGCAATGATTTTATATACAGTAATACCCTAACTTAAGCGAACTCGCGGCTTTTCTCGTTTGGCAGAACACTGCCGCCCGTTCTCTTCAGTGTTTCTTTTGCTGTAATACGCAGTTCGCGCGAATTCTACGTAGACGATTACAATTCTACGATCGACAACAGTTAAGATTGTTTTGTTATAGGTTTTCTGAATTCTTAAATAAACTTTGTCGTCAAACGAAGTAAATCTGATTCTCCTGCACCTAGTAAGAAAAGGAAAACAATATCTTTAGAATGTAAACTTAACATTATCAAGGATTTTGGTAGCAAAATAAAAATTTGTGGATTGACAAAGAAATTGGAGCTACCGGAATCCATAGTAAGAACAATCATAGAAGATAAAAAAAGAATTATCACAGCGGTGAAAAATGCTATCCTTGAACTCAAGCGTAATTCGTAAGCCTCGTGGTGTTATTGCTGAGATGGAAACAGTGCTGAAATTATGGTGTGATAATCAAGTAAAAGTGAAGAATTGTAAAGTCGGTCAGAACACCATGTACAATCATGTTAAGCTGATTTTTGAGAGGTCGAAAGAAGCTGGGGAGGCGGGCGCAGATGAAAACGTTGTAGCTAGTAACGGTTGGTTGAGCCAATTTAAAACTCGCTGCAATTGGCGCAGTATCGCGGAGAGTGGAGAGGCGGCAAGTGCCGATGAAGAAGCTGCGGCTTCTTTTCCTGAAACACTCAAGGCCATGATAGAAGAAGGTTACTGTAGCAGTGAAACCATATTTAACGTGGATGAGACCGTCCTGCCCATGATGTCTCTATCTTCTTCTTGGCGATCTTCGGTGGTCGTCGCTTTCCTGTTGTCCCCCCCCCCATCTGTCAAAAGACTTGAAGCAGGTGTGAATTCCGCCTTTTTGGTGCCTGCTTCAGTTTCCCAAAAGCCTGCACGGATACTCCGATCGATGACTGAACATATGCTTCGATGACGTCAATACCATGAAGGGCAGGTGGCTAAGCTTTTCGGGAGACTGTGCAACGGTCCTTCAACCGTCCTCGTTTCCTATCCGGTCTTGAAAGCAGGAACGCCGAGATTATTCCATCATCATGCTACTTGAAATTCCAGTTTTTTACGGGTCATATTTTATTGGAAAAGCTATTTATTCATTATCTTCTACTAACGAACGTTGAGAATATTTTCAGAACCAAACTGAATACTGCAGTTTACTTTAAATGACAGTGGAATGAGGTTATTTTGGAGCAAAAATTTCTACAAAATTAATGGCGATTCGCGTTCGAACTAGGGTCACTTGGATAGATGCTTGGATAGATCAAACGTTTTCATCATTTCGCGATCACCACGCAGAATGTTCAAGTGGCAGCGGGAAGTGGTATCGATTCGCTGTCTGCTTGAATAGCAATTAATGATCCTCGTTTCTCAATCCATGGGTTAGAGCAAGAATTTAACGCTTTTATGAGGCGTCGAAATGGGTCGGTGAGTAAATGTAATTACATAATCGTAATAAGGTTGAGAGGAAGAGAGGCAAGTATGGTGTTACGACCGCTGCTCATATTATCAGAAGATATTTTAAAAAAACTCAGGACTGATAGGTGAGTTAATACAAAATTACGGATTTTGGAATATTTCGGATTTTCGAATTGAGGATATTAACCGGTATGCGTAATGTTGTAGGGTCTGTTTTACGGGAGCGACTTTGTGAAAAAAATTGGCAGAAAGACTTGTCTTTCATCACATCTTCGACATATTTAACTACTACCTAAAAACATTCCATTTATTCATGTTTTCGATTTTGGGCCCGTTTGGAACTGCCACATGTTTAACGATCCGTGATTAAGGGCACCGAGCACCAAGCAAAGCAGATTTGTGTTTTTACTGTCTGTTTTGCTACCACTCCTGTAGCATCATCGGACTAGATTTCTGCATAAGATTGTAAACGTCTGCTACGTTATTTGACGCTCGACCGAAACTTGAAGATGCAAGCTGCATTCAAACCTTATTGGCTGATGACTCTCCTGTTTCATTTAGTCTGCTGAATGCTCGTAATTCGTTAGTGGCAATGTAAGGAAATTCTACCGTCATGTCGAAGTTTTGGTTTTATTAATATAAAAATGAAGTTCTTTCTTAGCTAAAAACAAACATCATAATTTGCTGACCAAGTTTCAAATTGAAACGTAAAACAGGGAAAATTGATACTACACTGTGAAACAAATTTTCGGTTGCTTACATTCGATTTTGAAGAGAAAAACTGTGTTCACTGAATGACCTTAACTTTAGACCACCGCAGTCCTCAAAGTCTACCCTACTTTCTGAGTCGTGAGGACTGCGTCATCTCCGTCATAAAGGAATACTTTGCAACGTGAAGTGCGGCGGATTGTATTGTCCCCAATCGCTATGGTTGCTGTGAATGCTGACGATCCTGGATAGAGGGATAGCGAGGCTCTGGTGAAGCTGTTTTGAGCCAATCATCCATTCAATGGACTTATCTCTGCTTGCAGAAACCATACAGAGTTTTATGGGTAGTAAACTATGATCAGTATGGCAGTATGATCTCAAAGAGCATTTCTGTGCTAAATATCGAGCGTAGTTTGCTAAGTGAAACATGGATCGTCAATGCAAACCTAACCAAAATGAATTGGCTGCGGAAGAATTTAGTCGAATACAAGTACAGGCAGTTGCAATGGAAGAGGCGCATCGCCTTGGAACCAG